TTGGAGACTTTTGTAGAGAATGAAGTTTTCGATTTTGGAGGAATTCAACTTTTAGTCATTGCCGGTCTATCTATTCTAAACGAATTCGCATCCATCACCCCATCACTAGACATAGAACAAAAAAAAAACATAATTGAAGAATTTTGTAGAGTACGAATAGTTTTCGATCTAAGAGGAATTCAACTCTTAGTCAATGACGGTCGGTCTATAAACTCTAAACGAATTCGTACTTTAATTGAATTAAGAAATAAATATTCTAAAATTGAATCATTTTTATAATATTCTAAATGGCATTATTAGTGAACGTTAGAGTATATTTAAAAATTCCCGGAATGCAATTAAAATTTCATAAACAATTTATAATTCTTGTTTACTTCCATTTTCCAACTCTTTTCCACACCAGGAAATTGTGGTTTATTAATTAGGCTTATTTTTCGAAGAGAAGATAATCTGACCTTAACTTATCCAAGAAAAAAAAATATTTTTAATTAATAACGGAAATGCTTTTTTCAATTTCTTTCATTCATTTCAAAATTTTTCAAAGCACACAAAGAGAATACACAGTAATGGAGCAATCAAAAAAAAAACAGAAAAACAAAAAAAAACTATGTGAGCAACAACAAATTAAAACAAATGAAAAAAAATTTAATCCGATTTGTTTTTGTAGTAGTGGATGGAATAAGCGGTGCGTTGTGGGAGAAGGCGGGATCAAGTGAACACAGTGAAAATATGTAAATACAAATAACTTTTCAACTGCAGCACATATTGGAAAAGAAAAAAAAACTATTAATTGTAAATAGAAGAAATGTGTATTTTCTTTAGCAAATTGCATTTTATAAATTTTTTTTAACATTAATTTTAGACAAATATTTAAAATAAGAAATTCTTTAAGATATATCATATTCCAAGTAAAACTTATTGATATTGTTTTGTAGCACATGGCATTTAAATTTGTAAATAAATGAATATCAATACATGTAAGGGTTATCTTTCACTTGTCACCCCGCGTTTGCTCCCACAACTTCAAACGCATTCCACACAAAAATTTAAAAATTTACTTTAAAAATAAAAATTACCTCAATAGAGTACAAAATATATTGTATAAAATTTATTCCTGAAATAATTCTATTTTATATTTTTTTTTATATCTTTGCTTTGCTTGTCGTTTTTATATATCCACATTCTTTATTTTTATTATTTTTTTTCTGCTTTTATTTTAATTTGATTTGCAAAATATGTGTTGCATTGGCGCATGTTACTTTTTATAGGAGCATATGCGTGTGTGTGTGTTTATTATTTATTTACAACAATAATTATGTAAAAACGCAACCTTTGCACTACAATTTATTAACGAAAATTATTTACACATGCACAATACAATATTTTAAAAGAATTTTTCATTTATTTTTATTAAATTTTTTTCACAATTTTCACAATTTTTTTTTTAAATAATTTTCCGCCAGCACCATTTAAATAAAGAATTCTAATTTTTTACTTGGATGAATTTCCACTGTCATTTGCAGAAATTCCATAAATCAACGAGTACAACACTAACGATTGATATTCACCACTGGCGAGTAAAATGAATATAAAATGAATTTTACACCGATCGAGTGAGCGAAGTTTATAAAAATTCTTCAATTTATAATTAGATTTCCGCAATTTATTGCACTTTTTTATAAATAAATTTTACAATAAAATTGAATTTTTATATTTAATTACGTTTTGCAATAGTTTTTAAGTTGAATTTAAGTTGTTTATTGACGAAATAAAAACAAAGAAAATAAACGTAACACCACCACAAATATTTTTAACACGACGTCTCGGCAATCTTCATTCAACTGAGTGCGAAATGTAAACAGAGCTGCCATATAATTTTCGCTCAAATCAATAGTTACTTTGACAATACATTACTTACGAATTACACAACATCGATCAGAAATAAACACAAAATTTGAATCAACTGCACACGGTTAACTATTTAATTGTGTACTTGCTCAAATTCATTACGATTAAAATATTGTATGATCTATTAATTTAATTTTTAATATAAATACTTTTAAAATGCTTTTAAATTTTTTTATTGCATTTATTTTAATAAGAAATAAATAAATATTTATTTTCTATTTTCAATTGATATAGAAATATAATATAGAGTTACACAAACATAAAATTCGAAATAAAAAGTTTAAAATATCAAAAACAAAAAAACAGCAATTGATTTTTAACGTCCGTTTTAACGAAAAAAAACTAAATTTTTAATATAAACTAGTAGTGAAATTGCAACAAAAATTTTGGTTTTATTATTTTTTATACTGGATTCACACGAAAATTTTATTTCTAATTTTAGCTGTCAAAAATTTTCCTTTTGCGTTAAAATCAAAAGCAAATGACAGCTAAAATTACAAACAAAACTTTCGTGTGATCCAGTATAAATTAATTGAATTTATGGGTGATCATACAGCTGTTTCGATCAATACCAAATACACATCATCAGTGCTCTTGGAATTTATTTCTTAAATTTAATTATACGTAAAATTTTAGTTTTAATGAAAATATTAAATATTAAATTTGTTAAAACTTTTACAAACTATGTATGTAATTCAAATTTAACAAATTTACAAATGTTATATACAACTGTAAAAAGATTCCAGACTTTCATGAATTAACTAAAAATAAATAAATGTTTTAATGACCAAAAGAAATTTAAAAAAAAAACAAATAATTATTTCACGTGCTAATTGGTCAGTTATTAAATAATGATCTTTTTTAAAAAAAAAATTTATTATTTAGTTTTATAAGATTTTTATTGTCCAATAAAAATCTATTTCGAGTCGAAATATTGGACAATAAAAATCTTATAAAACTAAATAATAAATTTTTTTTTTTTAAAAAAAAGATCATTATTTAATAACTGACCAATTAGCCCGTGAAATAATTATTTTTTTTTCTAAAAATAAATAATTATTTAAATTTTTAAAAATTTTAAAAATATATACAACGTATTTATTTTTTTCATAATATCATTTTTATTGAATTTATTTTGTACATTTGATTTATGTTATTAATAATTACTACTTCAATATTTTAAATTTATTAAATACAAAATATTGAAATTAAAAATTAAAAAGGAGTATTTAAGTTTATTATAATGTATGTAAATGATTTTTAACTGCCCACATTAACAAAAATTAAAAAATTTTGTTTTAAATTAGTTTTATAAGTAAAAGAAGATCATAAAAGATATTATTTGTTTTAAAAACTCTTATAAGATTTAAAAACCCATTTTCCATACAAAATCCTCTAAATGGAAACATAATTTTATATGGAATTAACTTTTTCAAAAACGGTGGTCAGCTTTAAAGAAATTATATTCTTAACGTGATCATTAATAATATAATTAAAAAAGAAAAAAAACCAAATGTCTATAATGTTGTCTTCAAATAAGAATAAGCCACCGTTGAAATATAATGAAAGGTTTATCTAATATGTGATGAAAACTATGTGTTCCAGCAACGCGATGCGTTCAAATAATGCTCATCCCGGTCTAAATCACTTTATTAAGCAATTACATTAAACAAAGCTGATCTTATAGATTATGGTGTAGAATTGTCAATTCTAATAAGTAAAAATTTACTTTCGTTACCTTAAAACTTACTGGACTGATGTGAAACTATATATATATTATAATATATTATAATATATATATATAATATATATATAATATATGAAATTAAATCTCTAGATTTTTATGTATAAAATGCGAAAGCAAGAATCTGAAACTAATAATAATTCAATATAAGAATTTGACTTCCTTATATGCTCGATCATTTTAGGAAAAAAAGTATACATAACAACATGGTTTCAGTTTTTTTTTTGCTTGAAAGATGTAAGTATAACTCACTTATTTTCTAAAAGTTATTTCTAAATTATATAAGGATAATCTCTTCCAATATTTAAAAATTAAGATGTCTTACAGTTTGTTTTTCAAAGGGAGATAAATAATTACTATATTCCAAGCACATATAACAAGTGATTAACTTTATGTACAGTTGACTATATAGGGAACTCCAACATCGTATTCAGAATATAATTATAAATTTAGCTGTAACGGCATAACGTTATACCTTATGCCTATTTGATGTCAAGTACATGACTTAATGTTTCAAGAAAAAGGCTATAATCGCCATTTCGACTGTGTATTCTATTAAAGCGCAAAAATTGTTTCTCACATACCACTTAATTGTTATTATTTAATCGCATCCATTAATGTAAATGTAGTTCAAAAATAATTCAGCAAACATAATTCTAAGCTTATTGGAACAAGAAGCACATCGCTTTTTAATATTGTTTATTTTCTCATATACAAATAGTTCTATATCATCGCTAATACTGGATTCGCAAGAGAGTTTTATCAGTTGTTGTTGCTTTCAATGCAAAATTATTTTATTTGTATTTTACTTGAATTTTACTACGAGTAGCTCGTGGAAAGACCTATTATTATGAGTTAAATGCGATCATGTAATTGTCTTATAGCATAAGGAATATTAATAAAAATACGATTAAAAATATTAAGCAACTAGAATAAACTTTTTTTTTAACTAAAAATTATCATTTTAACCGATTTAGTTAATAATTGACTGACAACATGCTTAAGCTAGCTCTGTCAATATTTACAGTGACAAAGGTTAGAAATTACGTTAGCAATACGTTAATAATAATTAACTTTATTGCAGTTAAATTTAAATAAATTTTAGTTTTAATAAATTTAACTACAATAGTCTATAGGAATCGTATTATAAAACTTTAATTATTTCTGATATGATCAAAATAGTAAAACAGTTTTGAAAACAAAAAATATCTTTTATGATCTTTTACTTATAAAAATTATTCAATTTTTATTAATGTATGTGGGCAGTTAAAAATCATTTACATTATAATAAACTTAAATACTCTTTTTTAATTTTGCCGCAAGATGTCACTCTACTGAAAATATTGAACATATGTTTTTTATTTTCATGAGTTTTGCTTTTGTGCCGATTTAATTGAACAAATAATTATAAATTAAAATATTTCTGAAAATGGGTAATGTCAGGTCTATGTTATCGCGCAGAATAAATCGATTTAATGTAGAAAATCGAGCACACAGGTTTTTAGACCGAGAAAAAACGGCTGCGGCACCAAAATTTGAATCTAATATCAAAGACATGCAACGTGCATTGGAACGTAAATATTGCAATTTTTATATATTTTTAAATTCTTGAATGAAAATAAAAAAACATTTAACCTAAACCTATTTGCAATTCTTAGTCGATCCAAATCTTAAGCTTAAGTTAGAAAGCAAGGACTCGGCATTGGACGAACGCTTGAAAAGGGTTTATGTAACATCCGAAGATAAATTTGTATGTTAACGCACACACATTATATATATGACCTTACATTAATATAAATAATTCCAATAAAACAGGTTGAGTATCCTATAACACGAACTTTTAATCCAGATAGACCATTACCATTAGACAGAACAACGCCGGAATTTTCAGAATATGGACATGTAATGCCAAGAGAAGTTGCGCGGGGACGTTGCACATTAAAACAGGCAATTGATTTTATTACGGATCATAATAGTGAGCCAGAAGTCTGGACTAAACAACGAATTGCTCAGCAGTACAAAATGAAGGAACCTCTTATTGGTGTGTAACATTTTAAATAATTATAATAATTTTTAATAATTATTTCCCCTTATTCGCAGATGACATACTTACATATTTTAAATCATTCAATGTTCACATACCGGAAAATACGCGGGATAAACATTTAACACAAGCGCAAATTAAACAAATAGACGCAAAGGATTCAAATTCAACAAAGTAAACGGTTTTTCTTTTATTTATCAAAAATCTTACACGGTTGGTGATTCAAATGAGAAAATGCTTATTTAATGAAAAATAAAAAATTTTAAACTTTAGAATTTTGTACTTGCACTAGATCTATATATGCGTCTAAACAACAGCATTTGGTGGACAGTTATATATATTAAGACACTTGTCCTCCGATACTGAAATCACTTTATCATTATTATAGTTATACGATACACCCCAAGCTTGATCTGCATGTTCCTTAAATGTATGCATACACTTTCTCTCAGCAAAGTCCCAGATTTTAACTGTTGTATCACTAGAAGACGATGCAAAATGTTTACCATCCTCCGAAAATGCAACACAGAGTACCCAAGATGCATGTCCTGAAAGCGTACCAGCTACATCGGAGTGTGCACTGAAAGTATAGAATAAGTTTTTATTAGTTTGTATTTTGTACGATGATCTTATTTAAACTAAACTTAAAGACTATTGGAAATTAATTTTATAAGCAAGGTTGAGAATTGAAGCAAATTGTTGTTGTTGTAGCCCGCGGGGATTAAGATTAATAAAATATGAATATTAATAAAATATTAATATTATTAAAATAATATCGTCGTCACTGGTACAATTTTTCTAAAATCTTTTTTTTGGGAACTTCCCATGAAAACTGGGTTCGTTGTTGTAAAACACAGAGATCTATCGAAGTAGATAACATGAAATAAATTTCTAATACGTGTACATGGGTGTGGTTAGACACAATTGTAGTGTGAGAGCTAGCCGATTGTTTAAAAAGAAAATTGGATTAGGAATAAATGTATTAACATTTGACAAATTTGCACTGCTCTCAATTGAGCTAGGATAGTTCTTGTTGTACAGAGAAGGCATCATTATTTGTAGGGGCTATTAGGCACAGACCTATTGAGAAAATCGTTGTACCGCAACCGTGGTCTTGAAGAGGATACTGCAACTGTGTGGAGGTTTATTGTCAGGTAGCACTGTAATATATGGAACAACGTATAAAATGGGAAAAAACATCAATTGCAAGAAAATGGTTTATCAAAACATACATATAACAATTATTCAAACTTATACATACACATCATAGAGTTTCATATGTCCATCATCGGATGCCGTCAACAACATCTGGGAATTTGGTGAAAAAGTTAAACTACGCACAGACATAGCGTGACCTTCCAGTGTTTGTACGACCTTACCAGCAGCAACATCAAATATAGTTATGATACCATCAATAGCGCCACTCGCAATATACTTTCCATCCGGGCTCTATTATCAATAAAAATATATTATATTTTAAAAAAAACTCTATATATAAACAAATTATACATACATATGCTATGCTTAGTGTAAATTTTCCGTTTTGTGGATCGAGCACCTGCTCTGTTTGACCAGTCTCTACGCTATACATTGATATTTTACCAGTATGTGAACCCGATATAATAAATTTATTGCATGGCGAAAACGCCACCGTCCACAAATCAACCGGACCTAATCTTAATAGATGTTTGCGCTCTCCGGACTCAGTATCCCAAACACACAAAGTTGAGTCCAAAGAACTACTAGCTATTTCTATAAAAAAATAATTTTAAAATATTATAATTTTGTATTAATATATATGTCTACTTACTTTTTCCATCAGATGAGATTGCAACCGAAATTACACCTAAAGCGTGTCCCTTAAGTGTGTGCCGAAGTTTGAGCGTAGAATCTTTATTAATGTCCCAAACTTTCAACAAATCATCGAGCCCGCCAGTTACGACGAAATCAATAGGCTCATTTTTTTTCTTTGCTGTTAGGGAGTCACGACTTACGTCAGGATCTCTATCCTCTTCAAAACTAGACTCGATTGCCGGTTCCTGAATTCTAGCCCAACCGCAAGACCATATACCGTCTTCATGAGCATTTTCCTCTTTATATATTAAAGAAAACTGTAAAGTATTTATAAATTTTTATTTGTTCCATTAAATTGGAGCTGAAAAATAATTACTCTTACCATATTTTATTGCAAAACTTTAAAAACAAAGTTATTGGCACAACTCAAATAAAATGCAAAGGAAAAACAAAATTGACGTATTTGGCAAACAGATGTAAACAGAGCGTTGCCAACAACTTTTTTACTTGTCACTTAAAAGTTAAAAGCAGCTCATCCACAATGTATTGTTTCAAAAATCCTGATGTAATTAGAAGTAATTATTTGTGGTATTATATTTATTAACAAGTTGATTTATTTTAAAATTTAATATAATTTAAAAAAAGCAGGTATTTTATATTTGATGCTACTTCATCTATTGGTGTAGTCCTAAGTAGCTCGATGGAGTTACAAATGAAAATCATCTAACCAGCAATAAATAATACTCCAGCGTAATTACTCTGTATAAATATCACACTGTTATGGTTTAAACAAAAATTTTTTTATGATTTAAATTAAAACGTTACTTATAATAAACTTAGAAAACTTTAAAAATACGATGGAATTATAAGCAAATATATATTATTAATTAATTTAATTTATTGCTTATACATAAGCATTTTTATATGTTTATGAAGTTTATATATTTATGAAATTAACTGTTAAAATACATTTATTTGGATAGTGTGAACGGACTGTTCATGTTTTGGTCACTGTTTAGTAATTTATGGTCATAACGATGCCAACTAATGTATACCCAAACAAACGTGGTACGGTACGATATGCTATAGATAGCCCTTACGGTATATGGAATAACACAAATAGCTACAGCAGGCTACTACGGCAGTTTACGATATTATATCATAACGCAGTTATACTGCATTTAAAACAATTGACTGCTCTAGATATCGTGGTTAGTTTACAAGATTTGAAAAGTTTGCTCAACATGGAAAAAGAATGTTTAGTTTTAAACTGAATCAATTAAATATGCTTTTAAAACTTTATGAATAATTTATAGTTTCATTATAGGAATTCTTAATATATATCAATTTTTATTATAAAATTTTTATTACAAAATTTTTATTATAAAATTATTTTATAAATTTATATAAATTTATATATGTAAATGCATTTTAAAAAAATAGAAGACTTTTGTTTATTTTAATGCATTTATTTAAAATAATGCTAATATAAAGCATAACACATTGAAAGTGCCTTATCGTACCATATCTTTGTTATCTTAGCTATATCGTTACCGGAAAATGTATGAGATTGTACCAAAACTGATCTGTTTAGAGGTACTTTTAATCACCAAATATGACAACTGATTTACAATTTTTTCTATTATTTATTAACTTAATATTATTTTTACTATAATACTATATACATTATTATATATATTATACATTACTACCATATATATTTTTATAAAATCCAAAAAAAAACTGTGAGATTGATTTTTTTAAAATCTTTTTATCTTTTATCTGATTGAGTATTTTGATTTCATATAGGACAAATTACAATACGTATCCATTTAAAACTAATGTCAGGCAGTATTTATATGTATATTAACAAGAATATGATATGAAAAGGTTAATATTTTTCACAACAATTATTGTATTTTTATTTTTTTATTGGAAACAATTACAAATCCTTAGGGAAACAGTTATTTATTCACACAAAAACAATTATTTAGAATACTTTATTTAAATTATATTTAATCCAAATTGTTGAAACTGAAACCTGAAGCTCGATTCCTTAAATGCGAAAAACTTTGGGAACAACGAAAAACTTATTTCTCACCACAGTTTACACTTTCTTTCAAGTTAACAATTATTTTAGATTATAACTGTTAAATAAATAATAATTGTATAGTTCAAATGTAGCATTCAGGAAGTATTGGAAATAGTTGAATATATTATATATAAATTATATTTATTATTTTCTATTTAAATAAATTGTAATGAGTTTTTCGAAATGAAGTGAACTACAACAACAAAAATGCTCTTTTATATTATTTTAATTAATTGAATTTTTGACTGAATAAATTCTATTATTAAATGGTATAGACAACAATCTTTATATAACGCGCATTAAACATTTATGGCGACTGCAATAATACCAAATCATACAAATTTATTTCACCATACATTTCAAAAAAAAATTTCTGGCAGCACCACACAAATTCTAAAACAACTCAAGACCTGCTCCCAAGAAAATTTTCATTCATTCGCATTTGAGTGGTGGTCGAGGTATTGTTAAGGAGTCTGATTACAATTGTTTGTTTTTTGTTTAAATAATATATAAATGAATTTTTTATGTAAGTGTGAATCAATTACTTTTTAAATGATCGTTAATAATCAATCCCAGCTAAAAATAATTTAATATTAAATCAGTGATCAGTGAAATATAACAAAAAAGAAATAAGCGCAAATTATAAAGCGATTTTGTGATAAAAAAAATTAATTGAAAAAAATCTTTTCTGTTTGAATGTGTGAATACTATGTGCTTTTAAAATATAAACCGCGGCGCGTTTAAAAAAATAAAATTATAATAAAATATTAATTTATTGATTAAAAGCTGTGTATGTCGTTTTCAATTGTTAATTTTTTGTGTATGCACCTTGAAACAATAAAAAATTTATAAAATTTGCATTTTCCATGTGTTCGACGACGTGTTTGTGTTAAAGTTTTTCCTACTCCAAGCGCACATTATTGGTCAGACTAAAAGGCAAACAATTCTGTTAAGTAATAACGTGGGTGGTTAACAGCACGCGGAGTACATATGCCAACCGTTTACTTATTAAAAATTAATACGGTTTTTATGCACCAAAACTGCTTACCTATGTATACTTAAATATTTATGTTTTTGCTATAATAATAGAATTATGCCGCTTATGTACGAACAAAGTACACATTCCTTTCTTCAGTAGATTTTATGATGTGCATCATCAAACCAAATGAATCATTTGAGTTAATTTTCTCTGCACCCTACAAAAAAATTATTTTCGGTCTTCTACGACTCTTCTCACAAAATTCTAAAAGCGGCATTTTGAGCATTTTTGGAGTGCCTTTCCGAAAGTGCTTATATCTTTCTATTTTGACCACTCAGTGCACTACAGTTCTTTGCTCACGTTTTTAACTGTTTTGTTAACGTTGTTATTTGTTTATCTTAAAAAAT